TGCAGAGGAGCTACTCACATTGGCCTATGAGAGTGGCATCAACGTCTTTGATACAGCGGAAGTTTATGCTGCCGGAAAGTAAGAGATTTTTTTTCTTTTCCAGGAACATAATAATTTGAGCCGCATCATGACAAAACATACGTAATGCGTCTGCGACCAGCATGGATCCAGACAAGCCTTCACATCCGTGCAGTCTGATCAGGACCCATGCTGTTCGCTTACAAACCCTATTACAAGTAGAGAAACTGATAGCGAACAGCATGGATCCTGATCAGATTGCCTGGATCGCAATGTCGCACTATGTTGGTTTTGTCATGACACGGCTCATTGTAACTCTCAACTTCATATTAGCAACAATGTCATAGAGTATAAAACCAGGCCAATCTTTTCATCTTGGCTGTAAATGTTATATTTATATTTTATAATTGCGATTTGATAATTATATTTTTTACCCAACAAAAAGTCTTAAAGTCTAATCACAGGGACTTAGACACGGTCTTGAGATAGTGTTAAAAGAAATTCTAGAAAAAAAATAATATACTGTAAATATAACATATATTTTATATATTCAGTTTTTTTTTCTAGAAAACACTTTTAACACTATCCCAACACTGTTTTGAGTCCCTGTGATATTATTCTGACGACATGAACTTGTTTAATGTTTAACAGAATAACAAAAATCTGTACAGTACAGATAAAGAGGAATATGCAAATTTCTGCGAGTATCAAGTAATCTCAAAAAGCGTGACTGCGAGTGGATTATAAATTTCTCGTACACAAAAGATTGACTCCGCGTCGATAACGAGTGACAATTAAGTCCGAGGGACTCGGTGAATGTCCGAGCCAAAAAGAGTGACTCCGAGTAATGGTATGCTATACTGATTCATTTATTGATATATTTTTATGCTCTACCTCTAAACTAAAATCCTTGAACGCATGTATTATTCATTCAAAATAAAAATGTTGTCGAATTTTCTTCGTTCATGTAAAGTATCACAAGTGAAAACGAAAGTAGACAACTTGATTCATTAATATCAAAAGGAAAGAATAACCGATGATTTCCCATGTCACACAGTGACAAAAACTTTTGTTTTCTTTAGGAACTGTCACATTGATTTAATAGGACTAGAGACATTTAAAGATAAATGAAGTTTATATAATCTGAATTATTCTTATTACAAAAAAGTTTGGCCGTTACGGCTTACGGTAGTGTTTTCCTAATCAAATGTACCTTTCAACTGTTTCACGGTAAATTGAAAACAACAACGGTAAAAATCACCTTTATTTTTAAATCGTAATCTAAAATGAAATGTAATTGCACTTGCATTTATTTACACCAGCTAGACACCGACATGGAGTTACGCTGTAATTCTCTCTCGGAGTCACGCGCTCTTATTTTCGTCTCGGAGTCACTCTCATCACACGTTTCTCACGCGGAGTCACTCGATTTTATGGACAAATACTCTCGCGGAGTTGCGAGTGAATTCCTCGATCCTCGGAGGATTTTGCATATTCCTCGTTATCTGTACTGTATATATTTATTTTAAACATATTTATTTCATCTCAGTTGTAATAGTTGATGATCATTTTAACAGTTATTCACTTCCTGGAACAAAACAGTAATGATTTCTTACAAGAAGGCATAAATTACTTCCCAAGTACAACTCAAATCCATGATTGCTGGTTTGAGAGGCAGACAACTTAACCACTAGGCCACTTCTACCGTTACGTTTCTACTTTTCATGTTGAATATTATGCTGAAACACATAAATGCAATATACATTATGAACATGTTTGGCTAATTGAAAAGGCTATACATTACTTGTAATGCTGCCTGGACTAAAGAAGTTATTGTATCCTTAACTTTAAATATCCAGATTCATTTCTCATACAAATTTCCTGTACATGGTTAGGCTAGGAAATGTTTTACTGTCTATGAATATATTTTGTATTTCATTCTTTAAAAAGTATTTAACATTTAAAAAGTGTAGGGCATAGAAATATGTATATTGTCTTTGTTATAATTATAGGGTCATAATTACCATCTGGATTACGGACCCATTCTGAAATAATTAATATCCTTAGGTTCAATATGCAATTGTTACTCTGTTATTCTCAAGCATGGACATGTAAGTAAATTAATGTATGATATGAAGTTATTAACATTTTGCCATAGCTATGGTCTGAGTAATAAACAAGCTTTTAATACTCTTTTGATAACTAAGATTGAACTATGGAATGTTGAATGACCGCTAAAAGGGCCAACAATACATTGTCCAGTTGTTGTGTAAATTTTGCCTCACCATTAACGTAGCCAACATTGTCCAGTTGTTTATGAATTATGGGCCTGTACGATTTCAGAACATTTTGTAATTTTTGCCTCACCATTAAAGTGGCCAACATTGTCCAGTTGTTTATAAATTATAGGCCAATAAGAACGTTATTGTATAATTTTTGCCTCACCATTAAAGTGGCCAATATTGTCTGGTTGTTTGCAAATTATCAGCCAATAAGAACGTTATTGTATAATTTTTGCCTCACCATTAAAGTGGCCAACATTGTCTGGTTGTTTGTAAATTATCAGCCAATAAGAATGTTATTGTATAATTTTTGCCTCACCATTAAAGTGGCCAACATTGTCCAGTTGTTTATAAATTATCAGCCAATAAGAACGTTATTGTATAATTTTTGCCTCACCATTAAAGTGGCCAACATTGTCCAGTTGTTTATAAATTATAGGCCAATAAGAACGTTGTTGTATAATTTTTGCCTTACAGAATTCATTTCACTGACCAGATTGCTATGAGGTAAGCCATGTGGGGCCAGCTGCATGTTTGGCAATACTCATATACTGTTTAGAATAGCCTTGTATAGTTGTAATATATTGTCTACAAAGAATAGCAAAAGAGGGTTTTTTTGTTTTTTTTTTAAATCCAAGATAATTTTGAAAACTATTTTATACAAAATCAATGTATTAATTGTATACAGATTTGATACATTAAGATTGTCGGTGAAATCTTGAAGGTATGTTATTAAAGTTGTCACCTTAGTGCAATAACTGGTTAACTCCTGTAAAATAAAGGACTTAACCCATTACTGCACTAACTTGACAAAGTGCTTTGCACTAGTCTATAACCCTAATCCTGCAGCTTTAATTCTGTTCTGAACAAGGTGCCTGCTTTTAATTAAAAATACTGGAAAAACACATGGTCCATAGATGGATCTTTGTGTCACAAGTTTAGCTCAAGACACATTTTTTTTAAATTAATATCCTTAAAGGAACTCCACTGAGGTTCCATCACCACTGATGTCCAAAAGTCTAAAAACTGTAAACATAAAAATTTGAAATTTTTGCAAAGAGCAACTAGGGCACTTAATAAAACAGAAATATATGGGAAAGTTTTGAAGAAATATACTCCTAATTAAATTGAAAATCATTTCTTTTATGATTGTTACTCAGATTGTCAGATAAAAGCATTTAAGTGAAGACTTTTCAATTTTGTGTCATTTTTCACAGTTTTCACAATTAAAGACTAATTAATACGAAAGAATGGAGTGCTTGATCTGAAATTTTGAACACAAGTTTAATTGGCTCTAACCGACATGAAATGTTACAAAAGTTACAAAAACAATATATTTCCAGTCCCATCAGGCCAAATTAAACCTCAATGGAGTCCCTTTAATACAACTGGTAAGAAGCCAAACTCAAGATACTGATTAAAAGAAATTATAGATTAAAGGGTGTAGTTTTGTCGTTAATAGATATTATCTGGAACTCGGCAAATTTATGTTTTTCCAAGCAAATCCCCCCCCCCCTGTTCAAACAAACTTTTACCATTATAGCTTCACGGTGCACTAAAGGGTCACAGCAATAAATTAGCCAACCTGCTGCGCCTGTTTTCCGAAGCTGTTACTGTAAAAGTTTGTTTGTACCCCAACATAAGCTGGGGAAAAACCCAAAATATTCTTAATTCGGTGTAAGTGTATTTAGTTGACTGTTCACAAAATTTACCTCTTCAGACTGTTAAAGAAAGACAAGAAATTGTGTAGACATTAAATTTTGTAAATAAACAAGGCTGTTTTAAGCAGTAGTGGTTTTATTTTTTAGCTCACCTGTCACAAAGTGACAGGGTGAGCTTTTGTGATCGCTTTTCGTCCGTCGTCCGTCCGTCGTCCGTCCGTAAACTTTTACTTTAAATGACATCTCCTCATAAACCACTAAGCCAATTTCATCCAAACTTCACAGGAATGTTCCTTTGGTGGTCACCTTTAAAAATTGTTCAAAGAATTTAATTCCATGCAGAACTCTGGTTGCCATGGCAACCAAAAGAAAAAACTTAAAATATCTTCTTTTAAAAAACCAAAAGAGCTAGAGCTTAGTTATTTGGCATGAAACATCTTCTAGTGAGTGTGTACCAAGATTGTTCAAATAAAAGCCCTGGGGTCAAAATTGGCCCCGCCCCAGGGGGTCATTGATTTTCCCTATATGTATATAGTAAAAACTTAAAAAATCTTCTTTTAAAGAACTCAAAGAGCTAGAGCTAAGATATTTAGCATGAAACATGTTCTAATGGGTGTCTACCAAGTTTGTTCAAATAAAAGCCCTGGGATCAAAATTGGCCCCGCCCCAGGGGGTCATTGATTTTCCCTATATGCATTTAGTAAAAACTTAAAAAAATCTCCGTTTAAAGAACCCGAAGAGCAATAGCTTAGATATTTGGCATGAAACATCTTCTAGTGAGTGTCTACCAAGATTGTTCAAATAAAAGCCCTGGGGTCAAAATCGGCCCCGCCCCAGGGTGTCATTGATTTTCCCTATATGCATATAGTAAAAACTTAAAAAATCTTTTTTTAAAGAACCCAAAGAGCTAGAGCTAAGATATTTAGCATGAAACATCTTCTAATGAGTGTCTACCAAGTTTGTTCAAATAAAAGCCCTGGGGTCAAAATTGGCCTCGCCCCAGGGGGTCATTGATTTTCCCTGTATGCATATAGTAAAAATTTAAAAATCTTCTTTTAAAGAACTCATGGAGCTAGAGCTAAGATATTTAGCATGAAACATGTTCTAATGGTTGTCTACCAAGTTTGTTCAAATAAAAGCCCTGGGGTCAAAATTGCCCCGCCCCAGGGGGTCATTGATTTTATCTATATGTATATAGTAAAAACTTAAAAAAAAATCTTCTTTTAAAGAACCAAAAGAGCTAGAGCTAAGATATTTAGCATGAAACATGTTCTAATGGGTGTCTACCAAGTTTGTTCAAATAAAAGCCCTGGGGTCAAAATTGGCCCCGCCCCAGGGGGTCATTGATTTTCCCTGTATGCATATAGTAAAAATTTAAAAATCTTCTTTTAAAGAACTCATGGAGCTAGAGCTAAGATATTTAGCATGAAACATGTTCTAATGGTTGTCTACCAAGTTTGTTCAAATAAAAGCCCTAGGGTCAAAATTGCCCCGCCCCGGGGGGTCATTGATTTTACCTATATGTATATAGTAAAAACTTAAAAAAATCTTCTTTTAAAGAACCAAAAGAGCTAGAGCTAAGATATTTAGCATGAAACATGTTCTAATGGGTGTCTACCAAGTTTGTTCAAATAAAAGCCCTGGGGTCAAAATTGGCTCCGCCCCAGGGGGTCATTGATTTTCCCTATATGTATATAGTAAAAACTTAAAAAATCTTCTTTTAAAGAACTTCAAGAGCTAGAGCTAAGGTATTTAGCATGAAACATGTTCTAATGGGTGTCTACCAAGTTTGTTCAAATAAAAGCCCTGGGGTCAAAATTGGCCCCGCCCCAGGAGGTCATTGATTTTCCCTATATGTATATTGTAAAAACTTAAAAAATCTTCTTTTAAAGAACTCAAAGAGCTAGAGCTAAGATATTTAGCATCAAACATGTTCTAATGGGTGTCTACCAAGTTTGTTCAAATAAAAGCCTTGGGGTCAAAATTGGCCCCGCCCCAGGGGGTCATTGATTTTTCCCTATATGTACATGTATATAGTAAAAACTTAAAAAATCTTCTTTTAAAGAACTCAAAGAGCTGGAGCTAAGATATTTAGCATGAAACATGTTCTAATGGGTGTCTACCAAGTTTGTTCAAATAAAAGCCCTGGGGTCAAAATTGGCCCCGCCCCGGGGGTCATTGATTTTCCTTATATATGTGTATATCAAAAACTTAAAAAGTATTCTTTGAAAAAACCTAAAGAGCTAGAGTTAAGATATTTAGCATGAAACATCTTCTAGTGAGTGTCTACAAAGTTTGTTCAAATAAAAGCCCTGGGGTCAAAACTGGCCCTGCCCCAGGGGTTTCATTGTTTTAAACTATATGTGTATAGTAAAAACTTAAAAAATCTTCTTTAAAAAAAAACACAATGAGCTACAGCTTAGATGTTTAGCATGAAACATCTTCTTATGGGTGTCTACCAAGTTTGTTCAAATAAAAGCCCTTGGTTAAAATTGGCCCTGCCGGGGGTAGGGGAGGGCAGATCATTGTTTTTCATTATTAGTGTGTACATCATGGTCTTCTTATAGGTGTCTTCCAAGTTTGTTCAAATAAAAGCCCTGGGGTTTAAACTGGCCCCGCTCCAGGGGCCTACATACAGGTGAGCGACCTTTGGGCCATCATGGCCCTCTTGTCTGACTCAGGGTCATTGAAACTATGTGATTATTTAAGCATGTTTTAACAAGTTATTTCTATTACCTCTCCTTCACTCACATCTATACATGTACATATAATTTTTGGGATCATCTCTCTTTGGAAAGACTGAAAACAGTATGACTTGGCAAAGCTTCTTCTTATCTTTAGTTTAATATTATTTATCTTGGATCTTCTCTGATAATGGGATTGAATTTTAACAGTCTTTGTAAAAGCATGTTTAACAAAATAACTCTTGTTTTTTTGAAAAACTAACACAATCTTTCAGAAGTTTTGTTTTTACAGAATTATTTAGAAAATGTCAAAACTTAACAATGTTCCTAGTTATTGTGTGCCATCACATTGCTTTATAGAAAATTTCATTTTGTAGAAAATCGACAAAGGAAAGTCATTTTATTTGCTAAAAATTCATTATTTTACAATAAACAACTGGTAATTTAGATAATTATTCATATGCTTTGGATTTTTCTTAAAGGTTTCAACATTTTTTAGGCAATAAAATTTAAGTATTTTTTTTTACGAAATTGTTGTTTTTACAGTAGTTGCCAGATTACTGTGTATTTGTTACTGATAACTTAAGTGAAGCCATGTTTTAGCTTTGTAATATAGAGAAGTACTCATCAGAATCATATGACCTTGAGAAATAAAGCGCTGTGTTCATTTTTTTCATCACTTACTTAATCAGACGGTAAAAATGATTGCTGATCCAAAGCTAGGTGTTGAGGGACTAAGAAGACACCACACCAGTAAAACTGAGTTGTGTTGAGTTGTTAATGTGATTATTAGTGTCAGTATTGATTTGAGGTCGTGTTTTTTTTTGTGTGGTCACAGTTGGTGTATATGTTGTTGTTACTGTACCTACAAGTTCTGTTTTAATGTTGATCCAGTAGTGTTAATTTATTCAGCCAATGTAAGTGTTTGTCATTTCAGAGCCGAGATCGTCCTGGGTAAAATCTTACAGAAGAAATCATGGAGGTATGGCATATGTATAATTTAAATGATAATTTATTAATGGTTAGCTTTTTACTTATTAATTTATTTGCTAGCTTGTCAATCGATTGATTGACACATGAAAATTTGATGTCAATTTAAAATCTAGGTATTAGTGATATGTCAATTTCTAGAAAGCTTTTGAGTTTAGGAAAAATTATTAAAATCATTGTAGTACTTGAACTAATTACTCTTGGATTATTCTATTACTTGTCCATGTTTAAAAAAAATACAGTTACAAAGTAATTCAGACTTGTAAAGATAAATTTTGTAAGTTAAAAATATGAGGGGAAAATTAAATTATTTAGAATATAGGTTATTAAGCTTAATTTTGGGTTCAAAGCTTTTGAACCATAAGTTGAAGTTTGTTTGTTTGAGTGATTGATGGGTTGGTTGATTGATTGATAGAATTTGATTGGTATGTTGGTTGGTTGATTGACACATGAAAAGTTGATGTCAATTTCAAGTGTAGGTGTTTAAGTGTTTTCTACTGAATTTCCAGCTGATATGTGTCCATGTTGAGATTGGTATTACTGTAGATTGTATATGGTCACATGTCATGACATGAGAGGTGATTTATTAATTACTTGGCACTGCTAGGCCTGTCTGTTACAAGTTGGCACAAGTTTAGCTACATCTAGATAGATTGGTTTTGAGTAATGTGATTACTACATCTATTATCTAAAGATATTAGTTGTACCTCAACACCTGTAAATGATTTTCTTGTGATGTCCAGATGCCATTCAGTCAAATAATTCAGTTATATACATGTACATGTATGTAGTGTAGTAGGTCAATTCTATCCCATTGTTTGTTTAATGAATATTGATCTTTTAATGTTTCATTAATTAAAGTAGATGAATTATTGTTCATTTGAATTAAACAGTAAATTTGATATAATTATGTGTTTTGTTGTTATATCTTAGAGTGAAGGTTATAAGAGAATTGCAAATCACATGTACAAACTTTTTGAATTTTGATAAGAAATTGTCAGGTGACTGTCCATTCCTGTTACTCCACTGTCAGGCCTTAAAACCCCCAAAAAGTAAATTTCATACATAGATCAATTAGGGCACTTAAAATAAAAAGATATGCAAAATAAAACTGACTCAACTCCCCCTAATGAAGATAAACAAAAGTCTATCAAAAGATAAAAACTGTGATATTGATGCTTGCCTATTTTCACAATATTAAGACTTCTGCTTGTGAAGACAGAATGTATTAGTTCTTATAGTTGGTAGTATGTCAAAAGGATATATTGTTTTGGTTCTTTATTTAAACATATTTATTTAAGCTGGATTGCGAAACAAGTTCTTGCAATTTATAATAATCACTTTCGAGTCCGCTTCCTGGAACCAATGAGTACTGGTGTCATATGAATAAATATGGTCCTGACCCGAGTAGGGCTCGAACCCATGATCTCTGGGTCGAGAGGCAGACACGTTAACTACTAGGCCACCGCTCCCCTTTCGGTTCTTTCTTTCACATATGACAAATGTTTTAAACAGTTTTACCAGTAACTTGAATGTAAATTATAATGTTAATTTCTTTCTTGTATTTCAGACGCTCCAGCTACATTGTATCTTCCAAGATATACTGGGGTGGGAAGTAAGTGATTACATTTTACTTGAGATATATAGATTTTATAGTTTAAACTAATTATATACAAAATTTAATGTAGATATGCACTTGTGTCTGAGGTGATTTATTGAAACTGGTTTAGATTTGTGATTGGTACTGGAAATTTGTATCATGACAAACATTGATAATTTCTTTAAATGTTAAGATGTGCAGCAAAAACGAGTACAATGTTTTTTGTTAATATATTGAGTATGTCACGGTTCAGAGCTGTCCACTATTTAGGGAAGAAGATGTGTAATCGGTTGGATAGCTCAGTCGGTAGAGCCGTGGTACGGTATTCCGAAGGTCCTGGGTTTGAGTCCCAGTCAGGGTGCATGTTTTTCTCACCCTGTTGCATTTGGCCCCCAACGATCTATTGGTCAGAGTATATTTGTAATTGAGATGTTTACTACATTTATTTTTAGAGCGGAAACAGAGAAGGGGCTCTCAAGAAAGCACATTATAGAAGGTATATTCTAATAATTTATATTCATTGTAGTGAATAAGTGTGTCAGAATTGTCACAACTGTCCTTCACAAATGTAAAGCAGCATGCCTTCATATCATATATGTAATTTTTTATGAAAACATCATTGTTCAAACAGAGTATGAATGTTATTAGAGAATTAACCTAACCTATTTAGACACTTACTATCCACAAAAATTACCTATTAGACTATATAACTTGTAAATTTTTCTTACTCTGTTAGTATTAGAGGGTAAAATTTTTATAATTCACACAAATTTTGAATAACCAGTGTTGAAAAAATGATATTTTAAAGACATATTACTCAATGTCCACTTAATATATACACATGTACATGTGTTATGAAAGTTTATCCAGATATATCTGAAGACATTTTTATATCCTCCATAACAGCTTGATGACTTAAAACTGACTTTAATAGTGACTTTCACACAACAGAGTGTAACAGTATTCTTTGTATTTTTATAATTACAGGGTTGAAAGCATCATTAGAGAGGCTACAGTTAGAATATGTGGATGTTGTATTTGCCAACAAACCAGATGTTCACACTCCTATGGAAGGTATCAATATTTTGATAGGGAGGCTAGCATTTTATTCAGATTCATTTATGAAGTTTATACAAATTTATTTTAATTTGATTGTGTTGAAAGCTGTAAGGTTATTATACCCCCAAAAACGAAGTTTGGGGGGTATATAGGAGTCACCCGGTGGTCGGTCGGTCCAGACGTCTGTTGCATTTTCCTTGTCCGGAGCATAACTTGAAAACTAATGGTTGGAATTCAATATAACTACATACAATGGTCAAGCACATTGAGAGGAAGTGCAGTGCACAAGAACCATAACTCTATCTTGACTAATTACAGAGTTATTGCCCTTTGTTACTTTTCCTTGTCCGGGCATAACTTGAAAACTACTGGTTGGAATTCAAAACAACTTCATACAATTATCAAACACAATAAGGGGAAGTCCAGTGCCCCAAAACCCTAAAATTATCTAAAGAATTACAGAGTTTTTTGCCCTTTGTTCTTTTCCATTGCTTTTTTTTTTTGTCCGTTGCATTTTCCTTGTCCGGAGCATAACTTGAAGACTAATGGTTGGAATTCATTATAACTTCATACAATGGTCCAGCACATTGAGAGGAAGTGCAGTGCACAAGAACCATAACTCCATTTTGACTTTTTTACAGAGTTACTGCCCTTTGTTTCTTTTACTTGTCCAGAGCATGACTTTAAAACTACTGGTTGGAATTCAAAACAACTTCATACAATGGTCAAGCACAATAAGGGGAAGTGCAGTGCACAAGAACCATAACTCCATCTTGACTAATTACAGAGTTATTGCCCTTTGTTACTTTTCCATTGCTTTCTTTTGTCTGGACCATAACTTGAAGACTTATTGTTGGAATTCATTATAACTTCATACAATGGTCAAGCACATTGAGAGGAAGTGCAGTGCATAAGAACCATAACTCCATCTTGACTAATTACAGAGTTACTGCCCTTTGTTACTTTTCCTTGTCCAGAGCATGACTTGAAAACTACTGGTTGGAATTCAAAACAACTTCATACAATGGTCAAGCACCAAAAGGGGAAGTGCAGTGCACAAGAACCATAACTCCATCTTGACTAATTACAGAGTTATTGCCCTTTGTTACTTTTCCTTGTCCAGAGCATAACTTGAAAACTACTGTTTGGAATTCAGTACAACTTCATACAGTTGTCAAGGACATTCCAAGGAAGTGCAGTGCACAAGAGCCATAACTCCATTTGACAAAATACAGAGTTACTGCCCTTTGATACTTTTCCTTGTCCGGAGCATAACTTAAAACGTACTGGTTGGAATTCAAAACAACTTCATACAATGGTCAAGCACAATAAGAGGAAGTGCAGTGCACAAGAACTATAACTCTCTCTTCAGTATTTATAGAGTTATTGCCCTTTGTTCTTTTTCTTTGTTTTTCTGGACTTACTACAGAGTAATTCAATTAAACTTCATCAATGGCCAACCACATTGAAAGGAAATGCAACATACATGAACCACAATTATCTTTAATTGCCCACAACCATAACTCTATGTTTCAATTCTTTTACAAGGTATTCTGTTACTAGTAACATCCTCATTTCAGGAGCAGACTTGTGGGGGTATTAATCACATTTAGTGATAGTTCTAGTTGAAATACTTTTGGAGACGTGCCTGGAACCAACCAGTACTAAGCAATGAGTGTTAAGTTTGTTGCTCGAGGAAACAACGGCTGGCCCCTGACAGGGTTTTAACCCATGCAGTCAGCAATCCTTAGTTTACTAGTCTATGATATTAAAATAGGAAATTGAACAGCTCTGAATTTTTTAAATTGTACATTTCAGCAGTTAAAGCTTAAAACTTTATTTATATTAAGATTTTTTTATTTTCATTTGTACAAACTTACCCACAATATTTTGTAAGACCCCACAGATAGTTTGTTGAGTTAGTCTAATAAAATATATAAAATGCTTGATAATTTCTTTTATTGTTGGTTTATTATTTATTCTCCTCAATATCAATTAAATGATTTTTTTTTATTTCATTACAGACTTTTAAATGATTTTGGTACTTTATAAATTTTTCAGAAACAGTAAGAGCTTTCACCCACTGTATCAACCAAGGCTGGGCTATGTACTGGGGAACATCTAGATGGAGCCCAACTGAAATTATGGTAATACATGACATATTTTGCTATAAGAATTAGACTTGTAATCATACCTTAAAAAGTAGATTGTAACCAATTTTAACCAAAAATTTAATTGTAACCAAAAATGATCATATACATGTAGTTTGTTATAAAATGTTTCATTTACTCTATATGACAAAATTCGTCTTTTTATGACATTGTGAAATCTTTTACAAGCACCAGTCACCATTATTTTACAATTCAACTTTTAAGTGTGCATTGTATCAGTATAACATGCTCATGTAATATTCTTATTTTACTGAATGAAGTGTTAAAATTGTAAATACTGGATCCCAGTCATTTCACTATTATGAATTGACACACTTTAATGTAATATTTAGTAATATTCTGAATGTTAATGTATTAATAATTGAGCTACGTCATGACAAAACCAACATAATGGGTTTGCGACCAGCATGGATCCAGACCAGCCTGCGCATCCATGCAGCCTGATCAGGATCCATGCTGTTCGCTTACAAACACTATTACAAGTAGAGAAACTGATAGCGAACAGCATGGATCCTGATCAGACTGCGCGGATGCGCAGGCTGGTCTGGATCCATGCTGGTCGCAAACGCATTATGTTGGTTTTGTCGTGACGCGACTCAAATGTATATTACAGGAGGCATATTCTGTAGCCCGACAATTTAATCTGATTCCACCAATAGCAGAACAGACAGAGTATCATCTGTTCCAGAGAGAGAAAGTGGAGACACAAATGCCAGAGCTATACCATAAGATAGGTATAGATTTCTTGTAAAAATATACTTAATGTTGTACTTAGGGTAGTGATTCTAAATAAAAATTAAAGGGCCAGGAATTTTATTCGAATATTCAAGCACAACATGTCAAGAAAACAAATATTCAAATATATTTGAATATAAAAACAAATATTTGAACATAAAGATCCTTACTCATTCCCTGACCATAAAAATTTAGGAAAATCACTGACTTGTTCTTTTATGGATAGGTTACGGTTTTGCAATCAGGCACTGAAATTGTTACACTAGAAACTAAAAAGATGTCACAATGGTTTTTTTAATTGTTAATTGTTTTACTATTATAGTAGAACATACCACCTTATGAAGATTTTTGTCAACTATCACAAATTTCTCGTGCTGCAAGAGGTATTACAATGTACATTATTTCGGTTTTGATATTGGTATATGAAAATTTTCATTTAACAATTATTTCAAAAGTGGATTAGTTAGTGTATGGTTTATACAAGCCTAGGTCAGAAAGAAATATATGTACATTGTATTTATATGTAAGTTTAACCTTAATGTACTGTAGTTTTACACTATTCACACAGGTATAGGCACTATAATTTGGTCACCTCTAGCAAGTGGTATTCTCAGTGGTAAATATGATGATGGTATACCAATATATTCCAGAGCTGCACTAAAGGTAATTATTTTTATGTGTTACTAATTATAGAACATTGTGTTACTAATTTTAGAACGTTGTGTTACTAATTTTAGGACATTGTGTTACTAATTATAGAACATTGTGTTACTAATTTTAGAACATTGTGTTACAAATTATAGAACAATGTGTTACTAATTTTAGGACATTGTGTTACTAATTTTAGGACATTGTGTTACTAATTATAGAACATTGTGTTTCTAATTATAGAACATTGTGTTACTAATTATAGAACAATGTGTTACTAATTTTAGGACATTGTGTTACTAATTTTAGGACATTGTGTTACTAATTATAGAACATTGTGTTTCTAATTATAGAACATTGTGTTACTAATTATAGAACAATGTGTTACTAATTTTAGGACATTGTGTTACTAATTTAAGGACATTGTGTTACTAATTATAGAACATTGTGTTACTAATTATAGAACATTGTGTTTCTAATTATGGAAAAAGAGCAGGATTGATAGCATTGTTCTGCCATGAAAGTTTGATAGAAAAATGTATTTTGTATATTGTAGTGGCTTATGAAGTTTTTTTATTTATTTCTTATATTAGTAGGATATGAAATCTGTTTAAGAAGAAAAAGAAAAAAAACTTATTCAGTCTCATCTGCTTGTATTTGTGAGTGAAAGTTTGGGTCTGGTGAGAAAAAAGTTGATAAAACTTGCCCAGTAAGGCGTGTTAGATTTTCTCCCCATCCAAATGATGTTTTTCTAAACATTTATAGATGAAGTTATTCGGTGCAAAAAATCAAATGGCAGATATCATTTCAATCATAATACCTTTCAAACGAAAACCGGAAATCAACCTCATGGCTAATTATAATACTTTAATAAACACTGATGAATTGATTAATGCTCTGCCTTCCCTAATGACACAGCATTCAACAATATTTTATACATACGCATTCGGTAAAGTTTTTGAGCTATGATGTCAATTTCTGTAAAAATGTTAACATATATGCTGTTATATTCAGGGATATAGCTGGTTAAAGGACATTTTAACATATATGATGTTATATTCAGGGATAAACCTGGTTAAAGGATATTTTAACATATATGCTGTTATATTCAGGGATATAGCTGGTTAAAGGACATTTTAACATATATGCTGTTATATTCAGGGATATAGCTGGTTTAAGGCCATTTTAACATATATGATGTTATATTCAGGGATATATTTGGTTAAAGGCCATTTTAACATATATGCTGTTATATTCAGGGATATAGCTGGTTAAAGGACATTTTAACATATATGATGTTATATTCAGGGATATAGCTGGTTAAAGGACATTTTAACATATATGCTGTTATATTCAGGGATATAGCTGGTTAAAGGACATTTTAACATATATGATGTTATATTCAGGGATACAGCTGGTTAAAGGACATTTTAACATATATGATGTTATATTCAGGGATATAGCTGGTTAAAGGACATTTTAACATATATGATGTTATATTCAGGGATAAAGCTGGTTAAAGGACATTTTAACATATATGCTGTTATATTCAGGGATATAGCTGGTTAAAGGACATTTTAACATATATGCTGTTATATTCAGGGATATAGCTGGTTTAAGGCCATTTTAACATATATGATGTTATATTCAGGGATATAGCTGGTTAAAGGACATTTTAACATATATGATGTTATATTCAGGGATATAGCTGGTTAAAGGACATTTTAACATATATGATGTTATATTCAGGGATACAGCTGGTTAAAGGACATTTTAAACATATATGATGTTATATTCAGGATATAGCTGGTTAAAGGACATTTTAACATATATGATGTTATATTCAGGGATATAGCTGGTTAAAGGACATTTAACATATATGATGTTATATTCAGGGATATAGCTGGTTAAAGGACATTTTAATGTTATATTCAGGGATATAGCTGGTTAAAGGACATTTTAACATATATGTGTTATATTCAGGGATATAGCTGGTTAAAGGACATTTTAACATATTGATGTTATTCAGGATATAGCTGGTTAAGGACATTTTAACATATATGCTGTTATATTCAGGGATATAGCTGGTTAAAGGACATTTTAAAACATATATGATGTTATATCAGGGATAAGCTGGTTAAAGACATTTAACATATATGATGTTATATCAGGGATAGCTGGTTAAAGGACATTTTAACATATATGTGTTATATTCAGGGAATAGCTGGTTAAAGACATTAATATGATGTTATATTCAGGGATATAGCTGGTTAAAGGACATTTTAACATATATGCTGTTATATTCAGGGATTAGCTGGTTAAAGGACATTTTAACATATATGATGTTATATTCAGGGATATAGCTGGTTAAAGGACATTTTAACATATATGATGTTATATTCAGGGATATAGCTGGTTAAAGGACATTTTAACATATATGATGTTATATTCAGGGATATAGCTGGTTAAAGGACATTTTAACATATATGATGTTATATTCAGGGATATAGCTGGTTAAAGGACATTTTAACATATATGATGTTATATATTCAGGGATATAGCTGGTTAAAGGACATTTTAACATATATGCTGTTATATTCAGGGATATAGCTGGTTAAAGGACATTTTAACATATATGCTGTTATATTCAGGGATATAGCTGGTTAAAGGACATTTTAACATATATGCTGTTATATTCAGGGATATAGCTGGTTAAAGGACATGTTAACATATATGATGTTATATTCAGGGATATAGCTGGTTAAAGGACATTTTAACATATATGCTGTTATATTCAGGGATACAGCTGGTTAAAGGACATTTTAACATATATGATGTTATATTCAGGGATACAGCTGGTTAAAGGACATTTTAACATATATGATGTTATATTCAGGGATATAGCTGGTTAAAGGACATTTTAACATATATGATGTTATATTCAGGGATATAGCTGGTTAAAGGACATTTTAACATATATGATGTTATATTCAGGGATATAGCTGGTTAAAGGACATTTTAACATATATGCTGTTATATTCAGGGATATAGCTGGTTTAAGGACATTTTAACATATATGCTGTTATATTCAGGGATATAGCTGGTTAAAGGACATTTTAACATATATGCTGTTATATTCAGGGATATAGCTGGTTAAAGGACATGTTAACATATATGATGTTATATTCAGGGATATAGCTGGTTAAAGGACATTTTAACATATATGATGTTATATTCAGGGATACAGCTGGTTAAAGGACATTTTAACATATATGATGTTATATTCAGGGATACAGCTGGTTAAAGGACATTTTAACATATATGATGTTATATTCAGGGAATAGCTGGTTAAAGGACATGTTAACATATATGATGTTATATTCAGGGATATAGCTGGTTAAAGGACATTTTAACATATATGCTGTTATATTCAGGGATATAGCTGGTTAAAGGACATTTTAACATATATGATGTTATATTCAGGGATATAGCTGGTTAAAGGACATGTTAACATATATGATGTTATATTCAGGGATATAGCTGGTTAAAGGACATTTTAACATGTATGCTGTTATATTCAGGGATAAAGCAGGTTAAAGGACATTTTAACATATATGATGTTATATTCAGGGATATAGCTGGTTAAAGGACATTTTAACATATATGCTGTTTTATTACCCTTCCAGATTTTTTCCGCCTTTTTGATTGGATATTGATCACTCGAAAGAAATTGATATAACCGAGCCAGACGGGTAATATACACACTAAATTTCCCCGTTGGGTACCCAACATTGTAAACAACATGCGCTTAGGTGATGCGCGTACGGTTCGATTTTACGCGGTGTAAATTCCGATTTACAAGCACTTTTTAACTGTTAAATGATAAATATTTACCAAAGTAGAGTAATGATACATATTCCCATCAGTATTGAAAACAAATATGACCTTGTGAAAGCTTGATATTAATTACAAAAATGTGCGTACAATAGACTACTCCTTTTCTCTTGTTTACATTCGTTAGGTACGGGAAAAATACGTCATGTATTTATTTGACGTCATGTTGTGATGAAGAGGTACCCTAAAGGGAATCTTATTTCGACATTTCATTTGAAACAGCAATGATTTTTTTAAAAAATCGTCTAAACTCGGCAGGGGAAGGGTAATAAAATTATTATTTTGGTTTTGGAGTGATAAATGTGGATATATTACCTGCCAAGATAAAATATCACCCTCGCCTAACGGCTCGGGTGATATAAAATCTTAGCAGGTAATATATCCACATATATCACTCCAAAACCAAAATAACATATAATATTCAGGGATACAGCTGGTTAAAGGACATTTTAACATATATGATGTTATATTCAGGGATATAGCTGGTTAAAGGACAAGATATTGAGTGACGAGGGCAGACGTCAGCAGACCAAACTTCGGGAAATTGCCGAGATAGCTGACAAGTTAGGCTGCTCTCTGTCACAGCTGGCCATAGGTAATACATGTATATTGTATCTTAATATGTTTAACTTTTAACCTAGGGTAAGTGAAACAGTAATATAAATGTATGAAAACAAAATCATTGTAAAAGTGAAATTTTTTATACAACTGAGTATATTTCACCAGTTATATAGATTTACACTCTTTATTACATGCCTTAGAAATAAAGAAAATTTTATTAACTTCTTTAGAAATGGCAAACCTAAACTTTATTTATAACATTTAAGAAATGGTTTTAGAGCATGTTAGAAGCTTGTTGACATAAGAAAGTAGTCCTAAATGTGCCATAAATGTAGCAAAATGTAAACGTAAGTAGTATTTTGACATCCATACAAATTTATAAAGGAGTTGCGCCATGACAAAACCAACATAATGGGTTTGCGACCAGCGTGGATCCAGACCAGCCTGCGTGTCCAGTCTGATCAGGATCCATGCTGTTCGCTTTAAAACCCTATTACAAGTAGAGAAACTGATAGCGAACAGCATGGATTCTGATCAGACTGCGCGGATCCATGCTGGTCGCAAACCCATTATGTTGGTTTTGTCATGACGCGGCTCAAATCACTATATCTGTTCTAATTGTGATTAAGCATCAGAAGAAAAAGATGGTTCATGTAATTTTACCAAGAAGTAATTATAAAGAAGTAGCTATAAAGGTACACCAGAATTGAAAAAAAAAAGGTTTTGAGAAATAAAAATAAAGGCATTTACTAAGCATAATGGGTCTTTAAAACAGTTCAAGAACTGATACCTCCTTTTACAAGTAACATATTTGCGCAATGTATAACATTGACACCAGCCCATATCTTGCTGGCAGCACCTAATTCTATCAGTGCAACCGGTGCAGGCCAAAACAAGCCAGAACATCTGTGCCATTTGATCAGGGTCTGCACTTTTTGCTATTCGGTCAATTTTATTTTGAAATTTTCCCTAAAAAAATAATAAATTGTTTTGTCTAGATTCAACCCTGGAGGTTGGTATTGATTAATATGCATAGGAATTTGATTTCGAGCATGTATGTAATAAAGGAAGATGCACATGAACAATCTTTCTGTATGTTATATCAGGAATTGCCTGTAATATTGTTATATTTGTGTTATTTTCTAGCATGGTGTTTAAAGAATGAGAATGTACACTGTGTTTTATTGGGGGCATCTACAGTTGATCAACTTTATGAGAATATACAAGCTTTGCAGGTTAGTATTTTCCAACCATAGAATTGTGTATTTATTTATACTCTTCCATGCAAAATCTATGTGATGAACTTTTTCTTGACTTTGACTTTTAAGCATAGCCCATTAGTGGTTCAAGAGGTTAAAATATAAATGTACTTAATTGAGTGTCGAATAATTTAGAGGCTGGTGATGAATGAATATGCATGTATCTAAATATATTCCTACAACAGAAATGGGGGTGAGATGGGTGGAGTTACACTGAAAGTACTTTATTAAGTTGGTCACTCCACTGTGCCTATTCTATAATCTTACATACTTTAAATGCTTTTCTGCAAACGAGCTCAAATTCCACCTGTACAAGGAGATGTGACAGCTTAAGGTCACAGTAGAAGGTGAAATGTCAGACAAATATGCTCCTTATAAAACATTTTCTTCCAATTTGGCTCAATTGTAAGGTACTTGTTAATGTGTAGAATCCATGCCCCTGCAATGCAGGCTCAAGGACATTGTCGCACTTGAAGGTCAAATATCAATTTTTGTTAACATAATTCTTAATTATATTTTCTCAATAAAATTGCTGATCATTTATCTTGAACTGATAAATAATTTATCACCTTAATTTTTCAGTATGTTTCGAAACTAACATCTGGTATCATGCATGAACTGGACAAACTTCTTGGCAACAAGCCAAGTATTTCGCGACGTGATAACGTTTCCAGGTGACTAGCTACACAACAAAGTCACGAGCATGTCGAGGGCACTTCGTACACTGAATCGCACCCTTCATCTACACAACGAAAAGGCTCACTGCTCCCTTACAATGCCGCATGCAGTCTGCAATAAGATCCATTCACACAGCATTTATATTGTGTTTATGCCAGTGTAAAGTGTTTCGATTCACAGTATGCCATTGTTTCACTGGACCGAGTCTTTCTCGTTGAAAATAATCTGTCAGTTACTTGAATGTCTTGTACATTTATGGTACTGATTACAAGTAATAGTACAAAGTATCATGAATTTAGGTCAATATCTTGTCAATGTCTTTTTATTACCCAGTATTTCATATAGACTGGGTCTCAATAAATAAATATCACATAGAAAACAGGATTTGATATTTAATACAGTAACTAATATTCTATGAGGACTCGTTTTGACATATTCATTCATTGACCAGTATTGCATTATGGACTTTTTTGGTTCATAATCAAAAGTATTTTTGGTAGACTAATTCTGTAAATGTCATTCATAAAAATTTTGGGAAAGAGACTGGTTTTGCTAAAATCATGAAAGTGTATTTCATGTGGACTGGTTGTCTTATTTTATTTTTCATAAACACATACATGAATTTCATTTTTTTCCCTTAAAATAATTATAAATGTCGTATTATAAATGTCTTTTCATTGATGTTTAAATTAGATTTTTCCCTGAAAATCATTTCTTCGCAGTAACCAATGACTGAATTAAATTGTAGATTGTTTTTGCAATAAAAATTAATTTACTTAAACCAGTCTGCTCTGAAATTAAAAGACTATGAGATATAGGTAAACCAGTCTGTGTCACTATTTCTTGTGCTACAAAATCATGTTATTATGTTAAGGTCTGGTACCATTCTGTTTAAACCCTTAACCTGCTGACTTTGTGAAATGAATTTTTACTCCTTCGAATTTTGGAACAGTCTGTTCAAAGTATAATGGAAATCAGTATCAAATTGAAAAAAAAAATGAGTTCCTTAGAATATAGAGCCTCAGGTGGGACTGCACCAGAAGTACAGACTGACCTGGCCAAAAACTAATAAGTTTTGATTCATTCAGGTTAAAGGCTAAATATTGGTACTGTACCATTTCTTATTTAAGATTAGTTCCTAGCCATTATGTGTTTAAAGATTGGTTCCTAGCCATTATATGTTTTAGATTGGTTCCTAGCCAATATGTGTTATTATATTGGTTCCTAGCCAATATGTGTTTTATATTGGTTCCTAGCCATCTTGTGTTTTAAGATTGGTTCCTAACCATCGTGTGTTTAAAGATTGGTTCCTAGCCAATATGTGTTTAATATTGGTTCCTAGCCATCGTGTGTTTGAAAATTGGTTCCTAGCCATCATGTGTGCCATAGAAACTGATGAAAATTATCTGGTAGCTTGATATCAAGTCATATATGTGTCACTTAGATATGCAATTTTATCATTGTTTTATATGTATGCACCAATAAGTTATGTGTAATCAAAGGTTTTGTTGCATGCTGTCAGTGATGTTAATGTACCACTGTTTTGTGCCCACTGTTTTATTGACTTGATTGGATATATAATTATGTCCACACATTTTTTATTTCAAAATTAAATGTAATACACATGAAGCATTTTGAGAGACAATTTTTAAAATGTAATACATATGAAGCATTTTGAGAGATAATACATTTATAAAGTGTAATACATATGAAGCATTTTGAGAGATAATTTATAAAGTGTAATACATATGAAGTATTTTTAGAGATAATTTATGAAATATAATACATATGAAGTATTTTGAGAGATTATTTATAAAGTGAAATACATATGAAGTATTTTTAGAGATAATTTATGAAATATAATACATATGAAGCATTTTAAGAAATAATTTATGGAGTGTAATACATATGAAGTATTTTAAGAGATAAATTATGAAGTGTAATACATATGAAGCATTTTAAAAGGTAATTTATGAAGTGTAATACATATGAAGCATTTGTAAGACAATTTATATTATAAAGTGTAATACATATGAAGCATTTTGAGAGGTAATTTATGAAGTGTAATACATATGAAGCATTTGTAAGACAATTTATATTATAAAGTGTAATACATATGAAGCAATTTAACCCATAATTTTGAAGTGTAATACATATGGAGCATTTTAAAGATAATTTATAAAGTGTAATACATATGAAATATTTTGATAAATAATTTATGAAATATAATGCATATGAAGCATTTTAAGAGATAACTTATAAAGTGTAATACATATGAAGCATTTAAGAGATAATTTATAAAGTGTAATACATATGAAGCATTTTGAGAGATAATTTATGAAGTGTTATACATATGAAACATTTTAAGAGATAATTTATGAAGTGTAATACATATGAAGCATTTGTAAGACAATTTATAAAGTGTAATACATATGAAGCATTTTAAGAGATAATTTAAAGTTTAATAGATATGAAGCATTTTGAGAGATATTTATAAGTGTAATACATATGAAGCAATTTGAAAGATAATTTAAAATGTGTAATAGATATGAAGCATTTTAAGAGATAATTGATGGAGTGTTATACATATGAAGCAGTTTGAGACATACTTTTAAAGTGTAATACATAAGAAGTACCTTGAGAGATAATTTATAAAATGTAATACATATGAAGCATTATAAAAGATAATTAATAAAGTGTCATACATATGAAGCATTTTGAGAGATATTTTTAAGTGTAATACATATGAAGCATTTTGAGAGATAATTTATAGTGTTATACATATGAAGTATTTTAAGAGATAATTTATAAAGTGTAATACATATGAAGCATTTTGAGAGATAATTTATAGTGTTATACATATGAAGTATTTTAAGAGATAATTTATAAAGTGTAATACATATGAAGCATTTTGAGAGATAATTTAAAATATGTAATACATATGAAGCATTTTAGGAGATAATTTATGGAGTGTTATGCATAAGAAGTATCTTGAGAGATAATTTATAAAATGTAATACATATGAAGCATTTTAAAAGATAATTAATAAAGTGTAATACATATGAAGCATTTTGAGAGATATTTTTAAGTGTTATACATATGAAGCATTTTGAGAGATAATTTATAGTGTTATACATATGAAGTATTTTAAGAGATAATTTATAAAATGTAATACATATGAAGCATTTTAAGAGATAATAAAGTGTAATACATATGAAGCATTTTAGATTTTTTTAAGTGTAATACATATGAAGCATTTTAAGAGATTATTTATTTAAGTGTTATACATATGAAGCATTTTGATGGATAATTTTTAAAGTGTTATACATATGAAGCATTTTTAGAGATAATATATAAAGTGTAATACATATGAAGCATTTTGAAAGATAATTTATAAAGTGTTATACATATGAAGCATTTTGAGAGATAATTTATAAAGTGTAATACATATGAAGCATTTTGAGAGATAATTTATAAAGTGTAATACATATGAAGCATTTTGAGAGATAATTTATAAAGTGTAATACATATGAAGCATTTTGAGAGATAATTTATAAAGTGTTATACATATGAAGCATTTTGTAAGACATTTTATAAAGTGTAATACATATGAAACATTTTGAGAGATAATTTATAAAGTGTAATACATATGAAGTATTTTTAGAGAGGATATATGAAATGCAAAATAAGCAGTTATTCAGGTATTATCTATCACTTGGTAAAGATTCTAGCAAATAATTTGACCAATTGCTCAGATCATGTACTTTTAATAGACTTCTTTCTTAATTTGGGTGGGAATTTTGTTAAAAAATCACATATTAATTTAAGTGCATCACTTGCAATCTTTATATAAAGAGAAAAACTGGTTGTGAAATTATTTGCATTTCTTAAATACAAAAACAGATTGAATAGAGACTTTTTAAAAAAATTCATTTTTGACTTACAAGTTTGAATGTATTGAAATTGATAAATTTAACTTTCTAAATTTCAAATTTATGTAAACATTATTGTACATCATCTTCTTTATGATTGTCTTTTTCCTGCTCTGCAATAAAAATAGTCGAACATTACTCTCATTTAACTTATTAGGCATGAAATAGAAAGAATTATTTTTTATAATATGCTATATATTAAGCATGGAGGTGAGCCTTGAGGTCCTTCTCCAGTAAAGCCGGAAAGTCACCATATGACCTGTACTGTGTTGGTGTGACATAAAACCAAACCAAACAAAAAGTAACAAAAAAATAAACACATCTTCACTTGTGCTACATGCTCATGTAAATATTGAAATATCCACACCTCTCAGTGTGCTATGTAGCATATTTACTTTAAAAAAAACAACAAATATCCTGTATTTTTTTAATTGTAATAGCAATTAAGGACAGGACATTTTACTGACAGAAAAAGAAACAAACATGCATCTTTCACGACAATCATGTAGTTAACATGCATCATTTGTGTTTCAAATAATTTTTGTTTAGATTTAGGTTTTGTATATTTTCTCATCATTTTTGTAAACTTTTTTTTTTAGTTTTTGTAGATTGTTTTTTATTAGGTCAGGGACTTTTTTTATTTTGATGCCAAATTTTGTAGTTGATATTTCTTATTGCAAGTCATTAAATTCATTCAATAACTTGGTTTGATAAAAGGATGGGAAAACATTTTAATGAAGAAATAATTTTAGAAGGAGACATGTGTATGTAGGAAGTATAATTCAAATGCAATTTTGCTGTGAAAATTTGCATGACCTTGTGATTTTGTTTTGCTGATGTAAATACATGGGTAAGGGCAACTTAGATTTTCCTCTGTTTTTTTCCAAGGTCACTGTCCAAAGATTTGTAATAATTTGAGATGACAAAATAGGTTTATATACAAGTTAGGATTTGGGACAATCTCTGTTTTAATTGAGATAAAAATATGCAAATATGATAAGAGTTATGAAATTATGCGAAGAGGGGTAATGTATGATGGATTTCATGTTTGTTTTCATGTTTATTACATACAATTATACTTGTCTTTTTTAAATGTATATATTATGTATTTATAAAATTTTACCCCCCATTTCAGACCCCTCTTTAAAGCAGCATGCCTCCAGTTTCATGGTAATTTTCATGAAAATTTTAAGTATTAGAAAGTAAAATAATGTCAAGTTATCAAAGAAAGTACTTTACACATTACAAACTGCACTTTCAATTCTTATTCACATAAATTACTGACTAATATGGCCAAATTTTGCAAATATAGCCTAATTTCAATAACCAATCAGCAGAAATATTGTGATAAATATTGCAAAATCAGTCATTCATTTTATATAACATGTAAATCATTACTTGAATTGTGATTTTTTTTTATTTTTCTTAAAATCCTAGTAAATCTTTCTCAAAATTAATTTTCTTGGAGAAAAAAATGCTCATCTGGAGGCATGCAGCTTTAAAATGTTTTATTATTATTATTTTTATTATTATTATTATTATTTTTATTATTATTATTATTATTATTACTATTATTACAATTTATAGATTATGGGAACGAGGATAAATCAAAAAGTGCAATATCGTAGTATTAGAGTAAAGAGTTATCAAACATTATCCGACAGTGTCTCATGTTTTTAATGTAATATATAACCATTCATATTTCTTAACATATGAGCCACGCCATGACAAAACCAACATAATGCGTTTGCGACCAGCAATGGATCCAGACCAGCCTGCACATCCGTGCAGTCTGATCTGGATCCATGCTGTTCGCTTACAAACCCTATAACAAGTAGAGAAACTGATAGCAAACAGCATGGATCCTGATTAGACTGCGGGTATGTGCAGGCTGGTCTTGATCCATGCTGGTCGCAAATGCATTATGTCGGTTTTGTGGTGGCGTGGCTCGTGTTTAATATAATAAGGCTTGTCAAAAAGTTGATTTTGCCATTGTTTTTGTTGTTTTTTTATGACTTTCATATCATATGATAAAAATATGTATAATTTCAAATACCATATATACATAAGATTTATGTTTAATTGGTCCTAAAAATGTTTTTAAGTGAATTGGTCCTTCAATGGGCACATTTTCCGTACGTAATTCTGATAATCATAAAAACTTCAGAAAAGTATCTTTGTGATATTGCTATGAATTATTGCTTGAAAGAAGAAAAAAATATGTTGATAAATTTATAAATGATTTAGTATGAACATTTTTACGATACCTAATAATATATTGTTCTAGGGCATTTTATTATCTGCTATATATATGTATGTAACATGAGATAAAGTATCTCACATGTGCCAACATCATCCATGGATAATTCTTTCATGGTTTGTTGTTACGTGTGATATTAAATATTCTAACACGACCGCCAGTTTTTCCCTATTGAACATAGAAGAAACAAAACTGTGTGTTATTATGCAATAAAATCACTGTATTCTATATTAAGATCTTTATACATGTGACGTGATCATTATACATGTGACTAACCACTAAAAATAAGACACGCTGAAAATTAGTACCAATTAGTATCAAAATCGATTATTTTATTGTTTAATAAAATCACAGTTTGTCTTTCTGATGCACATCATTATATCACTTGGGCTACACCCTTGTGATATGATTCCACGCATCCGAACTTCAAACAGTGATTTTATTAAGCGTTAGAATCACTGCTTGGGATATATTATTTCTTAAGTATAAACATTCGTATTTATTGTATAACAGATCTACCATTATAGACCAATTCACTTTGAATCATATAACAGTTGCAGACTAGATTTGTTACATCTTGCAATACTTGTTAGATACGTTGTATCTTTTCTTACATTGTATGCTTGTAAAAAGCAGTTTGTTCTAGATTATTGTTGATTTGGTTTTAACAGATTTTAAAGCTTCTATTGTCTATAGTAAATAAACCGTTTTGGTAAGGTTAATTTTATATATGTGAGTTTGCGTTAATAAAAAAATCTAGAGGTCTGTATCAGTTTCCTTATCTCAAGATAAGATAAAATTATTGTGTACCAAACCTTTGACTTGTGAATCTATTTCAAACATGCAATAATATTCAGGGTGGGTGATCACTTAACATTTGTTTATGGTGTAACACAAGTTCAATGCAGATGTTTGTTAATTTTTCATCATATCTTTCAATATTTGAATAACAAGCATACATAATGGTCCAGACAAATGGTGTCTGATTCCAATTTTACAAATTTTTTACCAATATAGCTTTTGTACTTTTACTAATATTCTATCTGAAATTGTGACAAATACTTTCATCAAAATATTGCCACATAGAAAAATTTCTGCAAGCAAAATGGGGAAACTAAAAGAGCTACTATTGAAAGTTATATTTGAATGCAAATATTTGCCTAGAAGATCATATTTGTTTATTATTCAAATACTGAAGGATAAAACGAAAAAATTAGCAATGACAATTAGCAGTGACTCTTTGATACCGTAAACAAATGCCATGTGACATATACATGTATGTCACTAACCTTGAATATACACATGTAGGCTTTTTATAAAGGGAGTGTTAACAATTACAAGCGAATGTATTTGATGTTAGTAAATATTATAATGTACTAAAGGTAAAATGATTGTTTAATTAACTTCACTTTTTACAGGAATGGTCAGAAGGGCAAAATGATTATACCAATTTAATACATCAGACATCTGGAAAATGAATGTGGAGAGGTGCAATACATTTGTACATCTGTACAAGGAATATTGTAATAGATATAATTATTTTGATAACCTTAAAAATCAGGTTGTATTACACAAATTGTTGTATAATTAATAATAATTAATTATCACTTAATTATTAGTCAGTTGTCAGATTTGTAAAACAGATTGTAAGTTATATTTTACAAATATGTATATGTTAATAAACTGAACAAAATAATCCAGAACAAAATATTAAG